CAATAAATGTCCTAATAGGCAACCATGTGGGGGATGGAGTACACCGGTGAACACATCGTTCACAACACCTACAGGTTGCGAGCCTGCTAGTGTTCCACTGGACTGTCTAGAAGAGTCCGTGGTCGTCATCTATACTCCGCTAGATGACTAGATCAACAACAACAACATCGAGGCCTCTCATCATTTTATCACACATCACCTATTACATCTACCCATGTTTTACCCCAACATTTCCGTAGATATAAAATACATATACAGTTTAAATCATTGAAAACATGTATAACAACGTTCATCTAGCATAGATAGCAAGTATTCAGATAATATGCACACATAGCACGTAAAATACTTCATATCTATGTGTAAGTTGAAGGTAACTATGCACTCACCTGATTAGGTGGTGACTCAGCACTCGGACAGCGCTTCGATACTCTTAAAATGATATTCCTTCGATAAAACCTAGTATCGATATCACTAGGGTTTAGTTTAATGATAACCGCGATAAATTAATTACTCTGACTATTATTAAGCGTTAATAATGCTCAATATAACTCATAATAATAGCCCAAATAATTATTTTAAGGACCTAATAACATTCCTATAATTATTTGGAAGCTATATTAAAAATTGCGTAAGCGTAGCATACTTACAGCGAATTTTATCGAAAACCGGGACTCAATTGGAGCAGCGTTTCGAAACCGAAAAACTCCTTTTTCTCGGGACTCCGGGAGCCTCGGGGCTTCCTTAGGGTGCTAGGGGTTCAACTAGGGCTTAGGGGTGGTTTGGGGTTGTAGAGAGAGAAAGATTTTAGAGAGAGAATGAGAAATAGTGTGAAAAATGAGGGCACCTTCGGCCCCCTTATATAGGCGCGAGGCCTCGGCAGTACGCGGGGCGTTCAGCAGCTACGCGGGGCGTTCCCTCGGATAAGGGCGCCAGCTCGCAGCCAGCTGTCTCGCACCGGACGGAGGGGAAGCGAAGGTACGCGGGGCGTACCCGGACCTCGTACGCGGGGCGTAGGGCGAAGCGGCGTGGCGCCTTCTGGACCGAGAGCGAGCGGACGCGGGGCGCACGAAGCCGGACGCTGGGCGTAGCGAGGAGCGACGTGTCGCATATCCGAGCGAGACCGTGGGCCGCAAGCGACGGCTCTGATCGCGCCACGTCACCCGATTTCGCATCAGTTTCGCATTTTCGAGTTCAAACTTCAAAAATTCGTAACTTTCACATACGAGCTCCGTTTTTGACGTTCTTTATATCCACGCGAAGGTGGGAACGTATCCTACAACTTTCGTTTAGACTTCGTCAGCTAATTTTGGCTCGATTTTAAATTTTATATTATTAATGGACCGGGACACGATTGATCCGTTAAATCCTCGTAACTTCTTCATCCGACATCCGTTTTTGCCCATCTTTTTCTCGTTACGCTACTCTCAACGAGATCTTCGATTTTCATTCAGGTCGTGTCGGCTAAAAACCACTCGATCAAACATTCGAATTTCGGGCAGTACATTGCTAGTCCGAAACTTCGAGAAAGCGTAACTTCTTCATACGAAGTCGGATTTGGGCGTTCTTTTTATCGATGTCCTTAGTTTAACATATTCTACAACTTTTGTTTAGATTTCTAAGGCTAAAAAGTCTTCTATCGTAAATTTACCATTTTATGTCTTTCGGTGCCGTGCCGGTTTTGCCGTAAAACTTCGGCGGGCCATAACTTCTTCGTTATAGCTCGGATTTCGGCATTCTTTATATGTACGGAAACCTCGAGACATATTCTACAACTTTATGTAGAGATATCGGGATTATCTCACACTTTAATTTTGACGCTCATTTTTATTCTTTATTAATAATTAAATAATAAACACATAAACACATGATTCACATAATACTCAAATATTTCATATTTATTACTTCAAAAAGAGTTACAATAGTTGACCTAGACTATTACATTGACAAAATGCTTAGCCCTGAAAACCCGGGCGTTACATCTACTGCTCTCAACATTTATTTCATCTTTTATATTACATGATTGTAAACACTTTTATACAAGAAATGACACTAAAATCTTATGAACTCACCAGCTTTATGCTGATACTCGTTTTCAAAATAACTTGTATCATCAAGTCAAAGATAGACAGGTACTGGTGCAGCTTTTGAGAAGATGGAGCATATATAAGACCCATCTTTTTTTTTGTTATACTTTTGGTGTCTATTTAACTGTACAGAACACGTTTGTATTTACAAATACTATATTAATGCAATGGTTGTTGTCATTTGTTTTTATTATTATGCAATTGTTATGATAATGTACATGACGTCCTTCACCCCAGAACGTATTCCGCCGTTCTTGGTTTTGGGGTGTGACACTCTCGGACCGTACCAAACTGATAAACTGTGGCGTTGGAGGTGGAGTACAGTTGAAATTTAAAAAGCCATCTGCACGTGTTTTTCTTGAAAGAATACCTAAGCATGCACAATTAAAAAAAGGGCAAAAGTTGAAAACCTAATTAACACAGGAAATGCGAGAGTTTAACGCCTTATTCCCGAGTTCTACTTAAGGAGGGAAATGGGAGGATACGGAGGGAAAATGAAGGGTGTCGAAGGAAAATCGTGTTCCCGAGTTTCATTAATTGAAGGAAAGTGAAGGGAGGGGAAAGATTTTAGAATCATATTTTTCTTCCAAATTTTCCTCCCAAATTGGACGGATTTAGAAAGAAAGTGAAGGGAAAGAAAATTTCAAGTTTTATTTTATTTTTCCTCATAATTCGAGAACACAAAAACTTAAAATTTTCCTCTCATTTCATTCAAACTCGAAAACACGGTATAATGAATATTTTCATTCCCATCCCTTTTTTCGGTCAAATTTTTTATCCATTTCCTTAATTTAAAAAAAAAAACTAAAAGCCTAAGTGTAACGTAATGTAGGCGACTATGTGAGCATCAACATGTGTATCAGAAATTGGGCTTTAAAGATGGGACAAACCGATCATCTAAGCCCAACAGCATCCACGTATCACCGTTTATATACTACCCTTTTCTAGGGTTTCTGTCTTTTGCATTTGCTAGTTGCAGTTTCCACCATCATAGAGTTCCCTTTGCGCGAGGTAGTTCCCCTAATCACCATCATCTCTTTGATCTGTTGTGATCCCTTAGCTGGTTATGATAACTATGATAATTGAATCAACGTAGTCTGATAAATTGGTAGTTGATGTTTTTTAGGGATTATTGGTGTTTCAATGAACGTTTATTACTGCATAATCGCACCTGGTTTGTTTATTCATTTAGCTTTTCGATTTTTAGTGTGGGATTTGATATCCTCTCTGTTATTGTCATGTTAAATCAGCACCTTCAGATACAATTTGATTTCGATCGTGTTGCTAATAACAAGCCCCTTTGGTTTCATCGTACAATACAGTATCTCTCGGATACAGTGGGGAATTGAATTGTTGATAGAGTCGCTCACAAGTAGATTAACAACAGTTTTCCAAATCTGTACCAGTTGCATGTACCTCAGACGTACATATCCATATTATAACTTGTTATTACCATCATGTCAAATACATTATTCTTGTCTCTATAATCACACAAGTTAGTCAGTTTGTCCATTTGGTGTATATTGGATTGGTAGATGCTAAATCTAATAAAGGGACCTTTGATGATGTTTTTAGGTTGAAATTTGAAAGATGGAGTCGCAAATCAAGCATGCAGTGGTGGTTAAAGTGATGGGTAGGACTGGTTCAAGAGGGCAGGTGACACAAGTGAGAGTGAAGTTTTTGGATGATCAGAATCGATTTATCATGAGAAACGTCAAGGGACCAGTGAGAGAGGGTGATGTTCTTACTTTGCTCGAGTCTGAGAGGGAGGCCAGGAGGCTCCGTTGATTAGTTAACCATTCAAGTCATTAGTCATATGTCAGTCGTGTAAACCTTTTCCAATTTTGCTGGATCTTCTACTTCAGACTTACTTGAGAGTTGCTTATTGATTCAATGTCAGACTTGTTAGTCTTAAATTCTTCATAGCAACTTAACTTTGGGCTTTTGCTCTAATATCTTGATCCAAACTTATTGGTGCTTGGTTGTGTCATGTGTGTGCATAGGCATAGCTTAGACGTTCCATGTTTTCTAAACTCTTTTATGTTTTTAAGCTAAAAGCTAAGTCTTGGATTTAGTTATTGTGTGTGTGTGTTTCGTTAGCCTTTAGTTATTGCAAAAGCTACTTACATAATATCACATTATAAACATCTTTCACCATTGTTGGTTTATCGGCACCTGTGTCATGTTATGTCATGATATGGAGCCTAAAAGCACATAATGAGAAAAAAAAGTTTTAGACATACATAGCTTTGATTATCTATTGTTTTTAAAGGGTTTAGACTGCAAGGTATGGTAAATATATTACGGACGGTAATTTGATTTGTCAAGTTTTACCGGTGATAACCCCACCCATCACCTTTATTTTTGCCTGTGGTATTAAGACGCCGGTTTACTTCCACCGGTGGTAAATAAAAGTTGTTTCCATTGTGGCTGATGATTGGTTGGTTGCAAACATTTATTTATTTTTTATTTTTTAAATTCATAGGTAAAAAAATTTACCACATCCCTATCATAGGTAAAAATTCCTGTTAAGAAAGAGGAATGCTTACATGGTATTGCTTACGTGACATATCTTTTTCATAGGTAGAAACCTTACCGGACTCTTTAACATTAGTAATAAAATATATTTAAAAAAAATATTTTGTCTTCAAAAAAGTATTATCACAACATATAAGTAATTGGAACTTTTTTTTCTTTCACAAATACTCTTATTATACTTATTTATGACATTCAATTTAAGTATTTATTAATACATGTTTATGTAAAAAATAATATTAAATCGTTATATACCTATGTATCATATTAACTTTTTAAAAAAGAAAAAACAAATGTATTTTATATAAAAAATGAAAATATTAAGAAAATACAAAGTAGGACTCAAGAATTGGACCTAATCCAACAATAAAGTAGCTTGAAAAAAAAATCTGAAATTGGTTGAATATGTGATGGCATGAAACCACAAAATTTGGTCTTTCTTCGTTTTCTTATTTTCCTCATGTAAAGTTTTAATATTTATCAAAACATGTCTCTTTAATTCCAAGATACCTTTATAGTTTATACATTACATAGAAAATATTTTACGTTATTTCATATTTCCATTATTATCTCATGTTTTTAGTTATTAACAAGCCCCCTCTTGCGGAATCAGAATTGAAGAGTGGATATAGGTGATTCTGCCACGTTTGGGAATCTCCGACCTCGAATAGTGTAGCCGTAGATAATGGCGTGTGGGTTTCCATCCCGTCTATGCCAACTACTCTTTTCTTGGAGTCTCCCCACTCACCGATAACTTAAAATCTTGGTGTTTGTTTATCCACTTCAACAATCTCTACTCATCTAATCTAATCTCGATCTCCATCCTTCAAAATGGGAAAGGAATCCACGACACCAACACTGGATATATCGGAACCATTGCTCCACGAATCATCCAATTCCACTACAGAAACAGAAACCATACCAGAATGGAAAGATCAAATCACTTTGAGGGGTTTGGTCGTGAGTGCTTTGTTGGGGACGCTTTTTTGCATCATTACGCACAAGCTCAATCTCACTGTCGGAATCATCCCTTCCTTAAACGTCGCTGCTGGCTTACTCGGTTTTTTCTTCGTCAAATCATGGACTACTTTTCTAGAAAATTTCGGATTCTCTGTTCGCCCTTTCACCCGGCAAGAGAACACCGTCATTCAGACTTGCGTTGTTGCTTGCTATGGCCTCGCTTTTAGCGGTAATTTTTTCTTTCCTCTTCAATCGCAAGCAAATCCCCTTTCCAAAGCTTATTTGTAATTATCTGCAGGTGGATTTGGATCCTATTTGCTGTCTATGGACGAGAGAACATACAACTTAATCGGTTCGGATTACCCTGGTAATCGGGCTGAAGACGTTAAGAATCCAGGATTGTTGTGGATGACTGGCTTTCTTTTTGTTGTCAGTTTTCTCGGCCTTTTCAGTCTTGTTCCTCTTCGTAAGGTAATAACTATATGCTGTTTCTTCAACTTGCCTCATTTTTTAATGTTGTTATTCACCACACTCCATTTATGTGTGATTTTAGGTTATGGTTATGGATTATAAGCTTACATACCCAAGTGGAACTGCCACTGCCATGTTAATCAACAGTTTCCACACTACTACTGGTGCTGACCTTGCAAGGTAACCGACCGACCAATTTCTCAAAACTGCTTATGTTTATTTTATTTCTTTGTTTTTTTTTTTTACAGGAAACAGGTAAGCTGTCTTGGAAAGTATCTAAGCATAAGCTTTGTCTGGAGTTGCTTTAAATGGTTCTTTGGTGGTATTGGTGATTCATGTGGATTTGATAATTTTCCAAGTCTTGGGTTGACACTGTTCAAGAATACGTAAGCTTCTTCTTTTTGCTTTTTAAGCATTACAAGTATGAACTTGAGACTTGCTATGTTTAATTATGCAGGTTTTACTTTGACTTCAGTCCTACTTATATTGGATGTGGTCTTATTTGCCCACACATAGTCAACTGCTCTGTTCTGTTTGGCGCCATTGTATCCTGGGGCTTTCTTTGGCCCTACATTTCCACTCGTGCAGGTGATTGGTATCCAGCTGATCTAGACAGCAATGACTTCAAAGGTCTCTATGGATACAAGGTATACAATATGCATAACATAGGTTCCTTTTTTTTTTTTTAATTAATTGGTGAAAAATAAAGTAGTAAAGTAGGTTGCTATTTACTGCAATGTGCATTTGAGTTATGATGCTTGACTCATTTTGTTCTAGCAATGTTAATATTATTTGTACCAGGTGTTCATAGCTATTTCCCTTATTCTTGGAGATGGGCTTTACAATTTGGTGAAGATAATATTGATCTCCATTAACGCTGTGTGGAACAACACTACCAAAACCAAACAAGATCTCCCTGTGAATGTAAGAAAAGAGTTACCAGGTAGGTAAAATTTAACTTGTAGTTGATGTTATATAACATAACAATATGACTGCCTGATTTGATTTGATTTGATTTGATTTCTCTCCTCCTATAATATATAGAGTCTGAGATCTCCAAGTCACAACTAGAGCAACAGAAGAGGGATGAAGTTTTTCTGAAAGACGGAATACCAACATGGTTTGCAGGGTGTGGGTATGTAGGGTTGGCTGCAATATCAACAGCTACAATGCCGCTTATATTCCCACCCCTCAAATGGTACCTGGTGCTGTGTTCATACATAATCGCCCCTGCCCTAGCTTTCTGCAACTCCTACGGAACCGGTCTCACAGACTGGAGTTTAGCTTCAACGTACGGAAAAATCGGTCTCTTCATCATCTCTTCGTTAGTCGGAAGCAATGGAGGGGTATTAGCAGGGTTAGCAGCATGTGGTGTTATGATGTCGATCGTCTCAACCGCCGCCGATCTGATGCAGGATTTCAAAACCGGTTACCTGACATTATCATCAGCCAAATCGATGTTCGTGAGTCAACTAGTCGGAACCGCCATGGGCTGCATCATTGCACCGCTCACATTCTGGATGTTTTGGACCGCCTTTGAGATCGGGACACCGGATAGTCCGTACAAGGCACCGTATGCAGTTATATACAGGGAGATGGCGATTCTCGGAGTGGAGGGTTTCTCTCAGCTTCCGAATCATTGTTTGGCGTTATGTTGTGGGTTCTTTGTGGCGGCGTTGGTTTTGAACGTGCTACGGGACTGGTCTCCTTCGAAGATCTCCCGGTTCATTCCTATTCCGATGGCGATGGCGGTGCCGTTCTATATCGGAGCTTATTTTGCAATCGACATGTTTGTTGGGACTGTGATTTTGTTTGTGTGGGAGCGATTGAATAAAAAAGAGTCTGAAGATTATGCAGGAGCGGTTGCTTCAGGGTTGATTTGTGGGGATGGGATATGGACGATACCATCCGCAATACTCTCCATTTTCAGGATCGATCCCCCCATCTGCATGTACTTTGGGCCTTCCGTTACCGGTTGAGTCAGCAGCACCCACCAAGTAGCCAAACTGTTTGCTAGTATTACTTTATACTAGAAAAGAAACAGCATTTTAGATATGGAGTTTTTGTACAAAAATAAATGAAATCAATTCCCCACTGCTCTTTTTTCTCGCATTTTTCGCCGGAAAATGATAACCAACAAGATAGTTTCTCATTAAAAAAACAAACATAAACTGCCAGCAAATGAAAACAACCAAACACGATTTGAATATATTGACAGATTCTTCCTACCGTGAGTTTGGTTTGCTCATTGGAATATGAATACAACCAAACAATTTGGAAATCGAAAAGGAAATTGTTGGAAATGCACAACGTTCATAGATCATGTGCCAAACATTTAATCACTAATCAGTGTCTTATAACTTGGAAATTTGGAGGGGGAGGGGTTGTTTAACAGACGATACCAAGGGTTGTGATCAATGGGTTCGTCGGTGGCACGGCGGATGTACAGTGTGGTTTGGGGAGGAGAATTTCAACAATTTTTTCAAGTTGACGATGTCACTGCACAACACAACAGGTAGACTAGGTGTTACCGGCAATGCTTGTTACGAAAAAACCTAAAAACCAGTAGACTTCAATCGTTGAAGCTTGGCAAAGGTGGCTGTGGTAGGTTCCATAGGTGTATGCGCACTCAGGCCCAGCAGTGGTGCTAAGGGTTGCCAAATGGTTTTGCAAGTAATGTGAACGTGAAAACACAATTAACATGATTTCTTTTATTTTATTTAAAAAAATTTTAAAAATAAAAGTACAATTAAATGGGAAATAATCTTAAAAGTAGTTTATTATAGTAAATATTTTTCGTAATTGTTACCTTTTAGTAAAACACTCTTTAGATATGATATCCATGTTTGTGAATTTTGATGTAATAGTTTGTATGAATTCATATAACAAAAATGTCAAAGTACCGATAATTCTGCTAATTTTTTTTCATTCTAATTTATTTCAATATAAGAATAAGAATTTGGGAAAAAAGGCCTACAATGTTTCCATAATTGTTCTAATTAGTTCCTAAACATTTTTTTTTGTTGCTTTATGGAGGGCATAAGGTAGGAAATGACCTACCATTTTAGTCACCAAAACCTAAATTAACCAGTTTAATTTACCACATGAAGAGACCTGCCATTTTAGTCACCAAAACCTAAATTAACCAGTTTAATTTACCACATGAAGAGACCTGCCATTTTAGTCACCAGAACTTAAATTAACTGGTTTAATTTGCCACATGTGCAAATGTAGCCACATACGCAGTGATGTGGAATGTGTAAGGAAGAAATAGTTACATATAACTCATTGGTCTTCCTAACTTCCTTGCACACTCAATCTCTTTATCTTTATGTGCGAGGTAGAAACGGTCTTCCCAACCTCATAAGCAGTGGCAGTGGAATTTTAAGGAAGAAACGATTTCATATCCTCGAACATTCATTATTTTGCACTTAATAATTATTATTTTTAATTATTTATATTATTAATTTATTCAAAAAATTGTTTAATAAAATACTTCCCTTGCTACCCTACATCGACACACCCTCACAATCATTGCCCATCTATAACACCATCTCCACCATCGAGGGGTGTTGGGCTGCAACATCGACAAAACCTGATCACATTTAGGTAGCAAATATGATCAAAAGGGGGATGAAATCCTATATCCATCCAAACCAATCGAATTTGACAGAAAGAAAAGTGTAAGCATGCATGGGGATCTAATTTACAAACAAAGAGCTGCTCAGATACTTATCATTAGAGAAATTAGATACCTAAAACACTAGCTTAGCAGGATGAATCCAAAAATCAATTTCTCACCTTCAAAATTGGATAGGTATCATGCATAAATCGACCTCTTTATCAGTATCACACGAGAGGGAGGGGATTGGAAGGTGTGGAAGGGGAACACCAACGGAGGAATGGGAGGGTTCGTAAATCACATGGGAGGAACATCAACGCATGATTTTGAAGACTGAAGTCAACTAGGGTTCAAATTTTGTAAGGAGGGGAGGGATAGATGAGGGTGAAGGGTGATAGTGTCGGACATCGGTGGCAACAAACGCCGGGGGCGATAGAAGGGACGAAGGTAAGCCCATATATCTAATCATATCTACTGTAATAAAATGAAGACATTTTTTTTTTCATATGTCCTCTTCTCCTTTATTTTGATACTTGGTATTTTCTAAAATTTTTAAATTATCTATTTTCCACTTGTCATTTTATTGTATTTTTCATTTTATTAAATTAAAATTACATATTTAATGTGTAAGGTAATATATATGTAAAGTATTTATTAGAAAGAGTTTATATATGTAATGTATTCAATATATTAAAGTTTCAATAATTTTAATAATTCAAAATTTTTCTCATTTCTCTTATAAATTCAAACTTTTCAAATTGTTAAAATTTCATATTTTTTTAAATTAAACCCATATAATACATGGGTCTCACACCTAGTATATTTTTAATTATAATATCATACATGATAATATACAGATACAAAAATATTAGGCATGCCAAAATAGTCTTTTTAAGGGTGGTAGGGACCAAACGAGCAATAAAAGTAACAGTAGGGACGTCCGAGTTAAAAAAATAAGTTAGAGATCAAACACGCAAATTCCCCCAAACCACATTGACCATTCATGTAATTTACTCCAAACATTATTTATTTACCCTACCAAATCCCATTGAATTGTGGGTTTTCTTTGATAACGTACTTTTAGTAGAAATCAATCTAAATTCCACTAGCAAAAACTCAGATTCAACAAATACCCATTAAGGAGAGAAAGAAATATGTGGAATCAGACCAAGAGTACATTTTATTTGCTCATATTACAACTTCTACTACTCGTTATCATCAGGTGTTCAAATTAATTTCACCTCACGTAACTCTATTTTTTTCGACTAGATAACAAACAATTTGGTTGATTTGGAGATTCTTCACAAGTAAATCTTGTTGATATTTTTTGGTCCCGCATGGCATTTTCGTAATTTTTGGGAATTGCTTTCGTACGCTGGGCATAACGAAGTGTACATGGCCTAGACCCAAAACCCTAATATTTAGGGTTTTTGAACTATTTATACATCCTCAACTCTCAAGGCTCCTTTTTCATTCATTAGATGCCTCCAGCCTCATATTCAACCCTTTAAAACCCTAATCCATTTTTAGAGCATCTTTGAGCTTTAAGTGTAACATCCAAAAATTTTAGTACAAAAATTTCGTTTTAAATCATTTAAGAAAAACCCATAATTCATCAAACAACATAATAAAACTACAAGTCATGTATCTCAAACATCATATCAAAATGCTATACCAAAACTATGTGTCAAATATTAGAGTCTAAAACATCCCAGGCTGAAAACTGTGGTGTGTACCATGTAGTCATCCCGAGCTCTTCCCCTTGTTACTGGAAGTACCTGAAACCAAAACTAAAAACCATAAACACAAAGCTCAGTTAGTCTCCCCAAACTACCACATACCATACACATACTCACACACTACAAACATTGGGCCTAGCCCGCTACATCGGGCCCCACCCAACATCGGACGAATCTGGCATCAGACCCCGCCTGGCATCGAGTCTCGCTCGATATACATATCTGTTTCTACTAGGCCTCGCCTGTCTTTGGGCCCCGCCCGCTATACACATAAAGTCAATAACATATAATCAAGCTAGTACATAACAGACAAACAAAACACTATAACTGCTAGTCTCAAGGCCCTGCCTGTCTTGGGCCCTACCCCTAATCGGCTAATAATGAGATATGGAACCCCGTCCACACTCAACTAGTGATGTGATACGGTCCCCCACCCACATTCACCTCCCTACCAAGCGTATACAAGCATCACAAAGACAACAAGTATAACTAAACATGCATTCCTTCCTCGGGTACCACCCGACATTGAACCATAGTTCGGGAACATACGTAATAACCTTCCTTGGGCCTCGCCTGACATTGGACGAAATCCAGAAACATATAAACTACATCGGGTTAACCCCGATATTGGATTTAAATTCGCTATACACTAACATACATAAACGAGCTGACATTGGTGCCTTCGACCCAATCCTACTAGAGAAAACTCACCTCACAAGCTGACTATAGAATCCAACGAATAACCTCTCACTGCTAGCTGGAAGATCCCCGAATTGCTGATCACTCGACTCCCCGAGCTATTAATTTCACAATAATACTTAGTCAAAAATTGAAAATCGTTCTAAGGGTAAAATGACCATTTTACCCCTGGTTAAAGTTAACGCTCTAGTCAAAGTCAAAGTTAAGGTCAACTTCCAGTTGACCCAACTCTTTTAGTTACCTCCTAACACGTCGAGTTCCTATGCTATTCAGACTCGTGATTAACCGAGTCGACTCGTCGATTCCTTTCATAGACTCATCGAGTTCCACCTGGTACAGAATCAGGACAAATCGATTCAACTCGTCGAGTCCCCCCTTTGGACTCGCCGAGTCCCCTTGTCTGTTTGGGCTATCTTGATGGGTTATATAAAGCTTTATGCCCTTGCATGCTATATGCGACTTCAAAACTTCATTCTTTACATTAGGACTTCATATAAAGCTTCAAACTCATGCATGAAGTCTAGATACCTTCAAGCTAGCACCTTTATGCATCTCGCATGCTCACAAAGCTCAGATCTAACCATTTTTGTCTCTGGAGTTTCTCAACTCTCAAGAGAAGGTCCTAAAACCAACTAAAGGGACAATATGGAAAACCCTAGCTAGATCTAATGAATAAGATGGAAAGATCAAGACTTTATACCTCCAAAAGCTCTTCAAGGTGATCTAGATGCCACTTCTTGGAACAGAATGCCACTCCAAGCTTGCTCACTAACTTCTTCTTCTCAATTAGGCTCCAAAATGGCCACTAACATACTTCTATGTTCCAAAATCACAATCTCAAAGGAACACTGAGGTAAAGGGACAAAATGAGGCTCAAGAGGCGGATTAGGGTTCAGTCCCAAAGACTTAAGGATGCTGAAATAGGTGTCAAGTCTGAAAATTAGGGTTTCGGTCCTCTGTCGCGTACGTCTCGCGTACCTATATGTATGCCCTGCGTACACAATACTCCTCCGCGATCCTTCCACCATAGTACGCTAAGAGTACCCTTAGGTACGCCCAACGTACACAAAGGGACCATTTTTGTCGACTAGGCCATTTAAAAAGGGTTAAAAAGGTTTACCTGATTTAGAGTGTTACAATAGGGCTCAAAACCCCAAATTTAGGGTTTAAAATCTGGGTACGTATGCCATGCGTACTTAAGATCTATGTCCTACGTAGACCATTCAGGCCTAATCAACACTTTCCCTTCTATGCAATGCGTAGAGGCTATCTACGCAATGCGGTGATATACTTTTATCACATAATACTTAAAACAAAAAGGGAAGGAATTTACCTAAAGAATCGGGTGTTACAAATGAACCCTAGATCACCATGGAATCTATGACAACCTGAAATTTCCATTCTGTACAACATATCAAGTCAATAGAAGTCAGAACAGTACTGCTAATTTTCAAACTTTTTGGTTTAAATTTGAGTATTTTAGGATTAACACTTTAGGAGATATCAAGAGAGAGGATGCCCTAGGGTTTATTGTGCAACAATAAAGTCCTGACACATCAGAAAATTGGAGTTTACGGCCTAAACAATGGTGTTTACGGCCGCAAACCCCAAGGAAGGGGGTATATAAGTGACACTTAGCCTTTTAAATCAGTTTTCCACCATTCCAAGAGTAAACCCCTAAACTCTCTCAAGTATCATCCTAATTTTCTTCGAGATCTTCAATCTAGAAGTGTTTCTAGCCCTTTCAAGTTAGTATATCACCTAATCTAGTGTTTTAACACACATCCATCCGTGAAAATGTTCCAAAAGGTTGATTCTTCAAGTTTCACCAAGAACACCAAGAACACACACTAGTGTTCTTGGACTTTTGGCTCATTTCAAGCTTCTATATTGTAAGTGCTTCTATCTTAGAGTATCATAGAGCTTATTATACATTTATAAATCAAGAAATCACGAGGAACACACCAAGATCAAAGGTGTTTACGGCCCAAGAACACCTTGGACCGTAAACCCTTATTTAGGGGCCAAAAGTGTGCCCTAGTCCCTTCCTTCCCTTGTGAAACTAGTCTAGACTCATACCTTAATGTGTATAGGACTTGAAAACACAAAAATACCATGGTCCATAAGGGTTTACGGCCGTAAACCCAAAGGGAAATGATCTTAGGGCTGTAAACCCCTCAAAGGAGGGAAATGGTGCCCTAACTTCTTCCTTAGGCTTATACATTAAGTGGAAACACTTCTAAGGACTTATAAGGCTTCAAACCAACAAATGATCAAAATATTATGAGGTTACAGCTGCAAAATCAAGGGTTTACGACCGTAAAATCAATGGGTTATGGTCTTTAGGGCGTAAACTCATGAAAGGGGTTCTATTGAACCCTAAACTCAATGGCCTTGTCCTACAACACTTAGATGCACTCCTTAGCACTTATAACACTTATATAAAGTGTTTATCATGTCCTAGGATGTCTTAACTTTGTTAATTAGTTTTTTAAAGACTAATTGGATACATATCTATACTACTATATGTTAACTAGGATCCTTATGTGTGTACAAGTCTTCACTTGACACTTAGCATCCTACGTCAGTCAATACATCCAAACCATCAACTACAGGTGAGTTCATACCCCTTGAATTAACCTTTTAAATGTTTCTAAAATGTTTTTAAATGCTTTATGGGGGGGGGGGGGTAATACAAGTTGAATCATGCTAGTTATTATATTAATCACATGTGATTAATAACTAACATGCAAATGGATTTACTGCACTTTTAGCTGTTTTATCAAACTGATTACTTCAGATGGCTTTCCAAAATGTTTTACCTTTTTAACAACTTTTTATTAAACTGTACTACATTCATTATGTTTTCTTCCAAACTCTGTTATATTTTGTTATTAAAGGAATTACTTTTCAAATGCTTTATAGAATGACATCAAGTCATTAATATTTATTTATTGTTCAAAACCCTTAAATGTTTTACAAAGGTTCTTTTATACTTTTAAATTGTTAAAAGCATGCCTATATACGTATAGTTATATAAGTAATTTTTGAAGGACTTAGGAAGGCTAGCTCGCTTTATTTCCTTTTCCTCGTTGGGATGTGGCTTTAGGGTATCGGTTATCCGTCCGAAGGTCGTTCAACTATCAGTTATATATCATGTATACATATATAGACATCAAATTGCCCTCAATCAGTTATGTACCTTTGGCTAGCAAAGGTATACCTTCGTTGATACTTGTACATTACTAGTAACTATCATAGGTATAGTTAGGAGATACTACTTGCTATTCCTATTACAAGGAATTACACTAGAGTCAGTTCATACATGAGTCTATACTAAATGCTAAATGAAGAGATACATTTACTTGGATACACTTACATGGATACCTTTACATAGATACCTTGTTAAAAGCATGCCTTTATATGTATTGTTATATAAGTAATGTTTAAAGGACTTAGGAAGGCTAACCCACTTTATTTCCTTTTCCTCTTTGGGATGTGGTCTGGTGGGTATCGGGTATCCATCAGAAGGTCGTTTAAACATTTAGTTATACATCATGTGTACATATACGAATATAGTAGTTCTGATCAGTCAGTTCAGTACCTTTGGGTAGCAAAGGTATACGTTCATATATCCCTAGTAAGCTATTATAGGTATAGTTTGGGCTTATATATGATTTGGTAATAAATATGGATTTCGACCTAGCGATTCTTTGCGGAAGTCACCTTTAGTTCCAAATGTAGAATAGGGACTATCAATCATATTATTACTTATTTACAACGGGTCTCATGAGAAGACTAGTTACTTACAGTGGGTAATACTATTACATATTATACATGTAGATTAGTTCTGTCTATCCTAGTACAAAAGGATACTATACGGGAGTAACCATTCCGACACCCAATACAAAAGGATAATACTTTCATGGCTATATTTTCCCTATTACTTTTATATTGTGATACATTCACATACACGATGAGGTAGACTACATATATTGTTAATAGTAGTCATACAAGGGAAAGACCAACTTTGTTACTTTCAAAACATTCAAGTCTTGGTAGAAGAATACCTTTTTATACTAATAGGAAATATGAGATTTTCTATGAAATTCAAACACTTACATTTTTACTTATAAGACTTTTCAATTATACTTATTTGGATAACGACATTAAATACTTATGAATTCACCAGCTTTAAAGCCGATACTCGCTTTCAAAATAACTTGTATTCTCAGGTCACAAATAGACATGTACCGATGCAAGGTTTAGAGAAGACGGAGCAGTCAAGACTTGTCTTTTATTTTGAGTATTCATTATGCTGTTATTACTATGAAAGAATACATTTGTAAGTAAAATTATACTAATAATGCAATGGATGATGTTGTTGCTTGTTTACTACTTTGCATTGTTGTGATACTGTACATGACGTCCTTCGCCCCCGACGTTTGTGCCGTTCCGGTTTTGGGGTGTGAAAGATTGCTATCAGAGCATTGTTTATAGTGAATATAGTATATCAACCCATAAAAGATATACTAACTATAAATACATTGGGATTAAAACACTCTGACTAAGAGTTTATACTTTTAAATAATAAAATATTTAAGTAAGTATACGTGCCTGCATTCATACTAAAATCAGTGTCACAATGAGAAGAACAAAAGTATTACGATTGTTGGATATCACAAGTAAGCTTGGGGATGTATGGTCAGTCTTGGGAGTGACATATCCTGATCAACTATGCTGGTCCGAGGAGTGATTAGGATGTGCCCAAGAATGGTTGTGATGTGGCAACAAGTCTAAAAACTTACCAACACAACCACAAAGAAATACCATAGGGGTATTTGGTCTTACTGTAATTACTTATTTGAGAACTAAATAGATCTTTATTAATATGTCAATAGTTGTTTAGTGGATACATTAAGGTTATATGTACTAGGATGTCATAGACTTAAAATCTGTGAATCTTTGCCTTATGTCCTGTCCTCGTTGGGTTGGGGGCTTAAGGTTAGGGTCACTTATTCGAAGGTTTATCCTATCCTAAATACATATAACTAGTATGCACTAAACAAGTATTGAAGCAACTGATAAAGGTCATCTTATAATTATCTTAGTTAGTTCGTCTATTTAGTTATTTCTTATATCCTGATGTGACCTTGCTCCTGTTCTATCCACTTGATTTTCTCCGGAGTTCAGTTATCACTACAAGATCACAAAGAACAAAGGCCATCAGCCACTCTCCGGGAGGGGCTCCCAGAAGAAAGCTCCGACAGTCAAGTTAGAGGGTGTTTAGGGTATGTGTATATTCTCCGGTAGGGGTCCCGAGAACTTACCTTGTAGGTCTGAGAGTGTACCCTTTTATACCTAGCTCCCTTTCCTGATCCGTACCAGACAAGATTGCTTTTTCAGGAGACAGGATCAGGGGCACTGATTGGAGAGTCGTGCACCTTTAACCGTTAGGGCGCTCTTATTGGCTCTGACGGTAATGGGGCGATCCTCCGGCCTGTCTCCTGACCATTTCTTTTGTCTGGGAGCTGGGAGCGTCTCTAGGCGGGCGTGAGCCTTTTGCCTGTGCGTTCCGCTCCCAAGGATACCAATGGTCGCTAAGCCTGCTGGGCCGGGTCCGGTTGGCGTGCGCGAGCCTTTCGTCTGTGCCTTCCACTCCCGGGAGCCCCAGCGGACACGAAGCCTGCTGGGCTAGGCCCTACTGGCGTGTCCGGCTCGTGCTTCTGTCGTGCTTCCCTAGGCACGTCATCAAGTCCCCCAGTCCTGTAGGCGTAGCATTGCAGTGCTAGCTACGACGTTCTGGACTTAGATAACTTACACGCGTCGATTTTCCTTTGCTTGCTGTTCTGTCTTTAATGGCGACGTGACTGCGTATGATGTCTGGCAGTTATGTTATCATGTCAGGCATTTAAATGTACTGTCTCTCCCTTTTTTATAAGAGCTTTTGAACGGTTTATCTTTATCTTTTCCTTCTTCCTCCTTCGTTTTCTCATTTCCTCTTTCTTCGTGGCAGATCTTCCCGGTATCCTCCCCTCCGCCGCTGAGTACCGTCGACTGGAGGCCACCTATAGCTTGTCTTCTCTGGAAGGTGTGGAGTTTCCTGCACCCGGTTCTAGCATCTCATCCCCTCCCCCCGACAAGATTGGGGTTTTATTGAAAACCCTAGATGCTGGGATCTGCTTCCCTTTGACCGATTTTCAGGAGGAAGTCTACCAGAAAGATGGTTGCAGTCTTAAGATGTTGACTCCCAATGCAGTTAACAAGATAGTTGCATTTGAAATGATCTGCAGAGCTAATGCGTATCTTCCAGACTACTTCGTCTTCAAGTTTTTCTTCCGATTCTGTGTTACCAACGACAAATACACCTTCTCGGTTCGGCGAGGGGGACACGCCTTGGTTCCCAACGGGCGCACCCCAAAAAATTGGCAGGAAAAATGGTTGTGGGTGAATCAGGGTTTGGTTGGGAGTGGTCGTTATCGTGCCAATGCTTTCGCTGATACCATTCCCAAGCTCTTTCCCCACAACCAGGGTGTCGCCGACTACTTGAAGAGTGTGCAAGTATCTACTGAAGATTACTCTGAGGCGCTTCTTTCTGGGGTATGGATGAGCCCCTCTTGGCGGCGGCGAGGCAAAATGGCGGTGTTCTTCTCCATCGTTGATGGTGAGTGTTGTATCCTTCTTTTCTTTTCTATCCCCCTATTATTCTTGTGTTATTTATATTTCCCTTCTGCTTTTCTTAGGTGTTGAATCTTCTCTATCCATGGATGAGGTGCTGCGCAAGCGTTACCGGGGCAAGTTGGAGTTTCGAGAGGTGGATCTGGTCGACCGGCTTCCTCCACCCCACCGGGTGTACCAGCTTACTCTAACCATTTCTCCTCCTATTCCTCCCATGGGTTCATCAACATCCAAGGAGAATCCGCTGCATGCTTGCCCCATTTCTGTTGTCATGCCCTCGGGCAACGTCCCTTCTTCTTCCATGGAGGATAATGAGGACAGTAAGGAGGGAATCATCGCTGACATCCGACGGATGTAGGCAAAGCGAAAGGCTATACAAGCCATGGGCGAGCCAGTTACCAGTGCACCTACTGCTACTAAGAGAGTGCATACTAGGCGCAACTTCTCTCGCTTACTGAGTTCCATGAGTTCCACACCAACTGGTGTGGTAGTGATCCCTGATGAAGACACGCAACAGTCCAAAGGGATCAACAGGGCGACTGAACAGCCCGCCATTTCAGATTTCTCCTCTATTCCTTCTCCCAGTGTTCCATTTGTTCCTTTGAAGCTTTCCCTGGCAACGTGTTTTGGTGTCTCTGGACAGGCTATAATCTCCAAGGATGGTGGTTCTGGAGATGGTGCTTCTGATTCTGCTGTTTTTGTTCCATCCTGGGATCTTCGCAACGACTCCCGACTTTCTATGCGTGCAAACGCTTTGGAATTTTCACACAACGCCCTTCCTACCATTGCAGTTGGGGATATGGAGGCAATGGGTAACCCTGCCCTTTCTCACAATATGGCCTATGCTGTCGCGCATGCCATGTTTTATCTTGTTGCAGGTTCCCAGTACGTCCATGCCTTCGGCGAGATGGAGGCTGCGCATGCTGCTTGTGGGTCTCGTGTGGCAAGTCTGGAGCACCGTCTGAGTGAGCTTGGTGATGATCATTGCTTATCTAAGAAAAAGTGTGAATTGCTAGTGTCCGAGAAGAACGTCCTTGATGAAGCTAGACTGTACTGGAGGCCAAGGTTGATTCCCTCACGCAGATGAACGAGGGTTTGATGATTCAGGTAGAGAGTCTTGAGCGTGATGTCGCTGACCGTGACAAGCTTGTGTCATCGCTACAGTCGGAGATGGACGCTTCTCGTCGAGATTTAGATTGGTTGGTGCATGTTGGCGTGGTTTGCATTGTTGATAAGTTGATCGAGCATCCTGATTTTAGTAATGCCGTAAGCCTCATTCGTTATGCTGCGTTTGTGGCTGGGGTTGAGTCCCTTCAGAAGACTTCTGCTGGTGGTGGAGATGGGAAGGCAGTTGTTGGTGTTTCTTTGGTTGGACCTTTAGCTAGTGTAAACGATGCTCTTTTGGTGGTTCTGAGGGTACTCCAGAAAGTGTGGTGGGTCAGGAAATCATGCCGGTGGTTGGGAATGGTAAGGATGGCAAGGCTGTTGGTGAAGGTGACCGTGGTGCTGAGACAGTTATTGGTGATGGTGATGCTGGTGAGATAGAAGTGGGTGCTGGAGGGAACGTGGGGGAGGTTGCCCCGGAATCGTGTGCTACCCCTTCAGGGGTGTTAAAATTCCTTTGCTTAGTTGGTTTATGTTTTTATGCTTTTGGCTTGTATAACGTTTGAACTTTAAGAGACGATGCTTTGTTTCCCTGGATGTATCTGTTCTTTGCTCACTTTTGCTTATTGTTTTACTTGCTTTCTTATTAAGCATTATTTAGGGGTTACAGCGCCCCGGTGCGCTAGGTATTTCGTTTTGCCCCTGCTGTTGTCGACACACTAAGTGTCGATGTTGGGTGCTCTTAGCATCTAACGATCTAGTTGTGCATGTGAACATTTACTCATTAAAAACTAATACACTAAGTATCAAAGATTAGCAATTTCATTATCATTCTATATTAACCGCGGATTTTTAAATACACTAACTATTGAACTCATGCTACTGAGCATGGACATGTGTACTCTAAGTACTTTGGGGTGTGCTACACTAACTGGCATATCAATCAGTTGGGATTGCATCTCTTCCCCTCACAATTTGTTCTAGAAGATATACTTCTTCAAATTCCTGGTGTTCCACGTTCTTGGAATCTGCCTGCCTTCCATTGTTTTTAAAACATATGCACCGTTCCTATTCGCTTCTGTGACTCTATAAGGGCCTTCCCACGCTGGGCCCACCTTGCCTTGGGGATGGGCTCGACTCGCTTCATTTTTCCTTAAAACGTACTCGCCAACTCTGAATGCTTTCTCTTTTTCTCTTTGATTGTAGTATCTTTCTGTTGCATGTTTATAAACAGCTTGGCGCATTTCAGACTTCTCACGCTTTTCCTCTAGGATATCCAGGTTTATCCTTAGGTCCTGTGCGTTGCTTTCCTCATCCCTAATGGTCACCCTTAATGTGTTCATCGCCACTTCCATGGGAAGCATGACCTCTGTTCCATATGTTAGGCTGAAAGGGGTTTCCTTTGTGCTTGTTCGTGGTGCAGTTCTGTACGACCCCAACACCGTCGGTAGCTCCTCCTCCCAATTCCCTTTTGGTTTGCCTAATCTCTTCTTGATTCCATTCACAATGGTTCAATTGGATACCTCCGTCTGCCCGTTCACTTGCGGGTGTGCTACTGATGTGAGGCGTTGGCTTATCCCTTTGGTGGCGCACCATTCTCTGAACGTGTTCTCTGCAAACTGCAGGCCAATGTCATTGATAAGATCTTTGGGTGTCCCAAATCTTGTCATGATATTCCTCCATATAAATTTTATCATGTGCCTCCCCGATATGCACGCCAGTGGTTCCGCTTCAATCCACTTTGTGAAGTAGTCCACGGCCACCACCATATACTTTAGCCTTCCTGGTGCTTCTGGGAATGGACCTATTATATCTATGCCCCATTGGTAGAAAGGCCACGGGCTGGATATGTTATGTAGCGGCACCAGGGGATTTGCTTGAACTGGGGTATAAGACTGACACTCCCCACATTTCCTGGTCGTTTCCATCGCATCTTGTTGTATCGTTGGCCAATATACCCCCATTCACAACACCTTGCTTGTCAAGGCCCGTGTCCCCTCATGTGCACCTACCTGGCCTGAGTGTGCCTCATGTAGCAATTCTCTCCCTTTGACTTGGTCCACACACTTCAACCATGGTGTCATGAAGCCTTTTTTGTACAATTCTCCGTTAACCATTGCATATGAAGGAGCTTTTATACGTATCTTCCTAGCTTCGCCATGATCCTCTAGCAATATTCCCCTCTGCAAGTATTCCTTGAACAGTGTCATCCACGTGGGTCCGGCTGGGGCTAGAACGTTCACTTGCTACTCGTCTATACTTCTGTCGTGGAGTACTTCTACTAGGACCTTCTTTGACAAATGGTCGAAGCATGTAGATGCCAACTTACTCAGAGCATCTGCCCTCTTGTTTTCACTCCTGGGTATCTGCTTGATCGTGAACTACCCGAATGATCCTACCAATTGCTTCACCATCTTTACATATTTTCCCATCCTCTGATCTCTCACTTCGAAACTCCCATTAACCTGGTTTGCCTCTAGCCTTGAGTCGGTTAGGGCCGTTACAACTTTCGCCCCCATCCGCTTGGCTAGGCGTAATCCGGCCAGCAACGCCTCGTATTCTGCTTCATTGTTTGACATGTGAAAATCGAAATGGAGGGCGTAAGTTACCTTTTCTCCTTCTGGGCTAGTTAAGATCAAGCCTGTCCTTGATCCTTCTCTACTGGACGCCCCGTCCGTATACAAGGTCCATGAATTGTTGCCGGCTGGGCCCCCTCAACTGCCCACACTTTTTCTTTGGACGGGTCCCCTCCATCCGAAATTTCTAGCAAGAAATCGGCTAACGCTTGTCCCTTGATACTTGTCCTTGGGCGGTAGTTTATGTCGTGCTCTCCCAATTCAATCTCCCACTTTGCTAGCCGGCCCGACGTCTCCGCCTTGAGCAGTATCTGTTTGATGGGATAACTCGCGAGCACCTCGATCTGGTGTGCTTGAAAGTATCTCCTTAGTCGTTGAGCTGCATAAATGAGTGCCAGGACCAGCCTTCTCCAGCGTAGGATAGTTGAGTTATGGTCCTTGTAGTGCTCTGCTAACGAAGTATACCGGTTTCTTCTCCCCTTCTCTTTCTACAGTCAATGCTGCAAATATCGCTTCCCCTGATGTCGAAAGGTATACTTGCAGCGTCTCTCCAGGGACCAGACTAGCTAGTGTGGGTAATTCCTGTAGCGCTTCCTTGATTCTTTGAAGCACTTTTTCTGCTTCATTAGTCCACTGGAAATTGCTCTTCTCAATGCACCCGTTCAATGTGTGAATAATGGCATGGCTTTGTCAACAGATTTCGAAATGAACCTGCTTAGAGCTGTGAGTTTTCCATTCAGACCTTGCGCATCCCTGAGGGAGCTCGACGTTGGTGTCTTAATGAACTCATCGGCTTTGGACGGGCTAGGCTGGATGCCTCGCTTGGTGACGTAGTACCCTAGGAACTATCCTTCTTCCACCCCAAACGTACATTTGGCTGGATTCAATTTCATCTTCACTTTCTCTAGGGTTTGGAAAGTTTCTTCAATATCCTATAACATCTTGTCTTCATGTGGGCTCTTTATCACCATGTCGTCCACATATACCTCAATGTTTCTCCCGATCTGCTTAGCAAATATTGAGTCAACCAGGTGCTGATATGTGGCCCCTGCTTTCTTTAGGCTAAAAGGCATCTTGGTGTAGCAAAAAGTGCCATGAGCCGTGTAGAAGGCTGTTTTATCCTCATCTTCTTTGCTCATCAAAATCTGGTGATACCTTTTGTATGCATCAGGAAGCACTTTAACTTAAATCCTTGTAACGACTCCACCTTCTGGTCAATATTCGGAAGAGGGTAACAATCTTTAGGGAATGCCTTGTTTAAGTTCGAAAAATCGATGTACATACACCACGACCCGTCTTGCCTGCGGACCATAACTGGGTTCACAATCCACATCGGGAATATTTCCTCCCGCACTATCCCGGCTTCTAACAACTCGGCCACTTCTGCATTAATCTCCATATTACGGTCTCCTGCCTAGATTCTCCTTTTTTGCTTAACCTCCTTCGCGGCTAGTTTAATTACATGCTTGTGCTTGATGACCTTCCTTTCCACCCCTACCATGTCTGTTAGGGCCCATGTGAACACATGTTTGTATCGTTTGAGTAAGCCAATCAGAGCTCTTCTTGTGCGAGTTGGGAGATCGTATCCAACACTAACTGGCTGATCGGGGTGTCTTTCATTGATTATTTCCTTGCCTTTCCTGGGATTGCGCTTGGGTCTCTTTGTCTCTTTGGTTATTTCTGTCGGCTTCATGACTGTGAGTGGCCAACACCGTAGCCGCGCCTATTGGGGTGTCAAATTTCATGATCCCATGCATAGTTGATGGCACTACCCCTAGCTTCAAGAGGGCTATTCTTCCCAGGATGATGTTGTGCTATGCCGAGTGTCGGATGACCACAAAGTCTATCTAGGCGATTTTCTTTCGCTGTTTGTCGTGGCTAGTAATGGTCAGGGGGAGGTGGATTGTGCCCAGCGGCCATAGGCTATGACCTGTGAATCCTACCAGCCTCCCTGTTGTGGGTCGTAAGTTATCCTTCCAGCGGTCTCGGAGGAGTCGGAAGCAATGCTCATAGATGATGTCCGCCGAACTCCCGGTGTCAACATAGACCCTATGTATGGTTACATCTCTAATGGAGGCTTGTATCACCAACGGGTCGTCGCCCCTCCATCCTTATGGTCAGGGGTCTTGCACGGAGAACGTGAGCGTGCATGCCAAAGGTTTGGCGGTCTCCTCTCTCCCCCGTTCCTCTTCCCTGCTTCTCTTACTGCGTATCATGAATATTTACTTGGGTTGGGTGCCTTCGCGGGGTGCACCTTTGGCGTTTTCAACATCGAACTTGATGTGCAGGCTTCGTGCTACTTCCACCAGATCTCCTTTGAGTTGCTTTTCTTCCATCTCTTTCTTTAGTACCGAGCAGTTGGCCGTATTGTGTGTCTTAGTCTTGTGATACTCACAGTATCGGATCTTGGGTGACTTGGCCGACTGCTATTTCTCAGACACCGCATACACTTCTAGGCGGCGGCCGCGTCTATCATCCTTGGTGAATGGTCGAAAGCGTGTCTGTGGTCTTCTTGCCTAACCATAGTGCCTATTCCCCCCCCCCTCGAAAATCCATGTGAGTCGGGTTGTGATGTTTGGTTGCCATAGCATTTAGGTAAGCTTGCTTGGCTGCTTCGGCGTCTTCCTGCCTCAGATATCGTTCCACCCTTTCCTTCAATTCGGCCTGTGTCAAGGGTTTCTTTCCCATGAGTTTCTGTAACAAGGGGCCTGGTAGGAGTCCCCATGTGAAGGCGCCGACTATAAGCCCTTCATCATGCCCTAGCACGTCCAGTGTAGCGTTTATGAACCTTGTGAAATATTCTCGTACAGATTCCCCCTCTTTCTGCTTACGACCTATGATTGAATGAGAATCTCCCTTGTACTTACGTAGCTGCATGAAGTTGGTGAGGAAGAGTACTTGAGCTGAGTAAAGTTTGAAATGATGCCCGGTGGTAACATCTTGAACCATGTACCGACATTGCCATCGAGAGTCGTCGTGAAGTACGTACC